TTACTAAAGAAGGAAAAACGCAGTCTTACGAGCAAGGAAAAAGCCTCTAATAATCGTACAACATAAGGCAAAAAACAAAGAAAGAGAAACATTATCAAAAGCCCATTTTGCATACTTCTAATGAACCCCAGAAAAAAAAAAGTTAGATGATTGAGAATAAAGCAAGACCTTTGATATGCTAAGAACTGAGAAGTGTGATAGAGAGAGAGAGAGAGAGAGAGAGAGAGAACTAACCAGAATGCCTTTTTAACAACAAACTGAAGAAGACGGCTGGTGAGTGCCTTCTCGGAGATCTCTCAAACTTGAGTAACTCTGAACTTTGGGAATATGGCGAAAAAAAAATACATAAGGATATAAAACATGAAAAAAAAAAAAAAAAAAAAAAAAAAAAAAAAAAAAAAAAAAAAAAAAAAAACCCACATATTGTAAACCAAAAATTTACTAAGAAAAAAGAACGTGACATCATAAATGTTAGGAACTTGACGTTGGACGAAGAGAGATAATATAACAATACCTTAACAAAGTTCATAACTTTATAATATAACAAAGTTTCTTCTGGTCATGTCTTATTTTTTGAGCTAGAAACAACGCAACAAAACTGAGAAAGGAATTGTCTTCACTGGCTTCCCTTTCACTTTTCTGGAGCTGCTGAGATTTTTTAGCTTCTCTTTCACTTTTCTGGAGCTGCTGAGATTTTTTAACACTACCGTTTTGGGAGTGAGAGAGAGAGAGAGAGAGAGAGATTCTAAAACATCAATGCAAGCAAAGGCTTCTTCACTGTTTGAGAAAACAAAATGAGGGAATTTCAACCATTAAACGAACTATTTTGTCACTATATTTTACTACTATAGTTTAGTAAAATATAAGTTTGGTCATTTTTCATATATTTTTCAAGCTATGTTCTTGGGACTACACATTACACATCAGTGATTATTTTCTCTTCTTTTTTTTTTTTTTTTTTTTTGCACTAACCCTTTTGAGATCTTTAAAAAAATTTCTCGGTGACTTAAAACAACCAGCCCTATGGTACGGCCAACTAACCGTCTCTTTTATATATCCCTTTGACCCTTTGTTCTTATATTTGCATTTTGCATCTACAAATCGAACCAAAACTAATTTTTCAGTCAAAAATAAAAAAAAATGTGTTTAGTTGGTGAATTCATGACATAATTTAAATCATAATTCGTAATTCGTTATAATTTTTTTTTTTTTTCCGTGAATTGAGAATGATTTTAAAACATCATTCTAAATCAACGTGAATGTTTTGAGCCTCGGAACTGGGAAGTGTGTCTTGTGCAGGAATGGGAACCACTGTCCCACGCACAGTTAAGGCGTGTGTCCGAGACTGCTTGGGTCAGAATATAAACTGGTCCACCTATTTGCTAGAGTTAAAAAATAAAAAAAAAAAGAAAGTTTGCTTATGAACATGTTCTTTGGTAGCAACTTGGTCTTCAAAAATGATAAAATAGGATAAGACCGTATTACTATTAATAGTGTCAGACATCATGAAATGAGATTCACACATGTACATGTCGAACCCATCCCGTTTAAGCTGTTGATTATGGACACCATTAATGCTTAAAGACGGTATTAACAGTGTCTGATATCATAACAAAATGCGATTCACACATGTATATGTCGGATGCACTATTGGTGTCTAATAGCATTGTTGCTTGATATTTCTTAATACCGTTTACCTTATGAGGTGAAAAGACGGTTCCAACCCTCAATCTTGAATGTGATCCAAGGAAGCGCGGAGGGCAATTCAGTCATTCAATTTTGTGAGAGTTTGAGAAGGTGGTTGAACTTGAAGACCAATAACCAAAACCATATCAGAATTAGATTAGTGGCACTAGGATTTGCATAGTTACATAATTTTTTGACTCAATATCATTATAGAAGTTATTTACTTAATGAACAATTGCTAATGCCATTGCCACCTAGAAGCAGTTGTATAGTCAAAACATGGATAAAATGTTTTATGATCTCGCAAAATTAGGCAGGATCTGTTTTGGGTTAACCAATGAATTTTCTTTTTGCTTGAGAACTGAAGCATCAACTGTAGCTTCATTGAAGTCATTGAAGGTGACAAAAAAATGTCAATAACTTGAAGAATATATTACGAAGCTTTTGGAAAGGTGTGGACCAAAGGAGGAGGAGGAGGACTTAGGTATGTCATGGTTTACAAATAGTAGAGCTTTAAATTTTGATTTGACTGATGTTATATAATATCATTGAAATCATATATGCACATACATAGGTAGATTTTGAGTACAATCTTATTTTAAGTGTATAGATATATAAATGTAGTGCAACAATTATAGTATTAATTGTTATACTTAAACAAATTAAGGGTCACGTTCATTTCACCAATTCGAGTTTTGCTACAGTAAAAAGCTCTTTGAAACAATCACATCTAATTTTTTTACTACAGTAAAAAATTCTCACATAAAGTCGCATCTCAATTCGAATTAAAAATTCAACCAACGAATTAAACGGGCCCTGAGTATTGCATGAATGTACTAACAATGTTTTAATGATGAATGAAAAATGTTATAAGCATCAGATTGATTCCAGTGTCTAACTAAAGACATTTCCTATAATGCAATATTAACTAAGTTGCAACCTCAGTTTTATTAAAATCCCATCATTTAAAGTGGATTAGGTTAATTGTTTTGGGAGAGTCCATATTGTTCATCAATTATTTTAAAAAGTACCAATTACTTTCAACTGTGCTTGATTTATTCCAATGAAGACTCTTGTCTTTTGCAATGATGTTGTATATTGTGGCCTACAACCAAAAAGAATAAAGAAAAAGTTCCCTCTTTTTTTTAAAATGCTAATGAAAAAGTTCCCTCCTTAGGCATGAGTTTTTTTTCCCCCCTTCTTATCCTTTACTTTTCATGAGATATAGTAAGCCAATGATTTGTTACACGTGTAAAAGGGAAAATGATGTGTTATGAAACATTTCACGAAAGACACATAAACTAAAGTTATAATTTAACTTGACAATAGTAAATCCTAATAAGATTATGATATCTTTTCATAAAGGTTACCTTTGTTCCATAGAGAATGATTCCCCCTAATTAGTTCAAAAAAAGGAGATAAATTTAATAAAATAAAAAACTAACCAAAACCCAAATGGGCAACCGTAATTTATAATAAAATTCCCTAGTTTAAACTTCAAAACAATTTATAATTTATACATAAATACATAGAGTATAAAGGAATTAGAACGAGTTTGGGGCCCGTTCGGTTTACTAATTCGAGTTTTTAATTCGAGTTGAGATGTAATGTTGTGTGAGAGCTTTTTACTGTAACAAAAAAGTTAGATGTGACTGTTTTTTAAAATTTTTTACTGTAACAAAACTCGAATCAACGAAATAAATGGATAAATTTTTATGGAGTGGGAATTGTCTTGACAAGGTTTGTCATTTAGTAAAAAAAGATGGGAGAATTAGTTGAAGAAAATTAATTGGACCTTAAAAAAACTTTTTTTTTTTTTTGCTTGAAAAAAAAAAAAGAAGTTAGTTGGGAAACAAAAGGAAGATGAGGACATGTGGGTGGTGTCTAGTCTATCCTCCAGATCTCCCAAAGTCCCAACCTCCAAAAATCACCTAAACTGAAATTCCACATCTGTGACTGACTGGTAGTTGTGTATTATGCTAATCATCACTTCATCACGTGCCCACGTGCTATTTCATATTTCATATTCCCATTTTCTTATTTTCCAATTTTTATTCAAAAATATAGGGTTTTTTTTTCCAACTCTATTATCCTTTTACTCATAACATTATACAAAGGTAACATAAGTATAATAGAACATTTATTTTATATAATAACTATAAAAATTATGTACATAAATAATTTATAAGATTTCAGATCAATTTCACGTCTTCAAGTCATTTGACAATAAAAAAAAATTATATATATATATATATATAATACACACCCGAGGTTTGATTACGGTCTTTGGTTATGGCATAACGTTTAATATTCCATTTTAACAGACTATTTCAAAACGTTTCCCAGAATAATCTAGTATACTTGTCATTGACGATGACAACTCGTCTCACAGAAATATAATAAATTTCAAAACAGTTTGTGTGCATTTAATAATTTTAAACACGATTAAAAATAATTAAAATTTAAGATTACATGAGAATTATAGTGGTTCATCTTTAATTTAGACGTCCTTATGGGGATGAGATAATTCATTATTTTTAGAAGAATTACACACTCTATTTACTCTCAATCAGACCCTGGGCTTTTTCAACCTACAGTTCCTTATTTATATTGTTGACCATTATCCCATGTGTCTTCCCTATTTAATTTCAAGATTATGCCCTCATCTTTTGGAATAATTTCCCGACAGATCAAGGTTACAATTAATTAGGACGCTTTTATTATTTAAATTTCGTATATTTGAATTACAAATAGCAAATTTTGGAGCAAATCTTGCATCTCTCTTGACTTGCATAGGCTCGACTTCATAAGCGCTCTCATAACCATATTCGCCTATAGCTGTTGGTGCGGTCGACTTTATATTGTCCTTTGTCTCTCCTCGAAGCGGTCGACCTTTTATGAATACCTCACCCTTAACTTACGGTCTACTTCTAAGAAAATTATCATCCAATGTGGCGGTCAATGCTAAACTGTCTTCGATTATTTAATACCCTCATTTAAAGTTCAGAATTTTACCATACAACACTTGTATCAAAAGCGGCTTGCATGCACGATGGCTCCAACGTCTCAAACAAATAATAATTCTTAATTGAGGTTATATATATATATATATATATATATATATTAGTTTACCAATCCATCCTAAAAGCTTAAGTTATTAGGAGATGAACCAATAATAGTTTAATACTTTAATATTCTCCCTCACATGTGGGCTGGACAATGAGTAATCGTATGGGTAAATTAATTAGAAAGCCCAACACATTAATATTTTAAGCCCGATATATATTAAAGACCCAACACATGATGACAATTTAAATGGAGATAAAGAGTGCAATTACGGGAGTTTAAACTCAAGACCTCCTACTCTGATACCATGTATATATAGTGCTGGAACTTTGGACGGGCCGCCCACGACCGCCGAAAAAATTTGACTTTTTGCCCGACCCCGAACCCGCCCGGCCCGATTTTTTTGGGCCGCCTGCCCGAGCCCAAGAAGGCCCATGGACGGGCCACGGGCATGTGTTTGGCTGCCCGAGCCTGCCTGAGTGGCCCGAAAAAAAATATTTTTTATATTTTTAAAATTTTTATAATATTGTATATATATATATATTATATAATATACTATTATTTAGTAATTGTATTTATCCAGAGTACCATCAGCCTTTGCACCAACAAAATAATGCAAGCATATAGTAATAGGAAAAGTAATGTGATTAAATAATTAAAGAGCAACAAACTAGCTAAAGTGCTGCACTTTAAAAATTTCTTGACGAATGGGCGCAATAAAATGTTTTATTGTTTCTCTATTCCTGTCTGTTGTTTCTTTGAAAATAAACATATTTATTTTTGCTTAAAAACTCGAAGGATGGTTTCAACAAGTACACATAACATGACAAGCAGAATTCATGAGCAAAAGAAAAAAAAAATCCAAAAGATACTATCAAAATGCACGAATAATAGTGTCTTCAGGTTATAGATTATTATTAGTCCACAACACTTTTACTTACAAAGAAACTGCTAAAGATTGATTACAAAAAGTTCCACGAGATACAAAAATTCCCGCAATACAAGTCTTCTTCAGCTCACCTCTTAAATCACAAGACATCCTGATCCAAACAAAGCACCCTAACTCTGACCTCCAATAAATTATTTATTTTACCATTTTTTCACTAAATGC